GTCTTGCTGAACTTCAACTATTTTATCTAACCAGGCCCATGTAACGGTGAACACTTGAAAGGGGCCAGTTGACGAAATGTGGTTTTGATTTGGAACCTAGGTACAGAGATCAAACGGGCCAAATCCCTCATTCAGATGGCTTCTCATTGCTACTGCTTCTGCAAATTCCTCCACAAGGCTTGGGAATATCACTCAGCACCCTACACAGGTGTGGGCTTTAGGAAAACACTTGGAAATTCAGCTTTGTGAGGCCTGTAAATTAATGTTTCTGTTTAGCTTTCGTGAACACTCATTATGACTTTTTAAAAACATATTACTAACCTCTGTTGGATGTGAAGTGAGACTAATGTCCCCAGATTTGGACTAAACTCTGTGACATGGAGGCCAAGGCTGAGAACGGCTTGGTGGCTAAAGTCCTTGCTGTGAAAGCACTGAGAACCTGAGATCAGATCCCTAGCACTCAAGTAAAACACTGGGAGTGTCTGTAATCCCAGTACTGGGAGCTGAAGATGGGAAGATCTCAAAAGCTCACTGACCAGGCAGTAGAGCCAATCAGTAAGCTTCAGGTTCAATGATTGTCTCCAAAGATAATGTAAGAGCAATAGAGGACACCCCTTAACTGTTGGCCTCCATGTGTTCATACACACATGCACACACACAAAATCCCATTTTCCCAAGAGTATATCCAATGCTTGACATGTTCATTAAATGACACACAATATAGCTTTGATTATCTTGCTTTGAATTATACATAATTCACTGAAAAGTTTTTGTTCCAGATTTGCTGTCACCCAGCTTGTTTCTGGGCAAGATGCCCACCTGCCCTACCTCCTTAGAAACCGGTTTTGGTGTTTGAGGCATGTAAGCTCATTTAAAAATTAACCTAAACAAAAACAAAATTAGAAAGGCAACTTGCCCACAATAACAATGAAAATCTTTTTCAAACCAAACACATAGCATATTCTAAAAACAAACACAAATGACTTTTTAAATAACCATGATTTTAGATTATCTTTGCTTCTCTATTCCGCTCATTAAAATGAATAATTCAGAGTGCCTACTATACATGGTAAAACAGCTTCCCCTCAATAATTTATTTTTAGTACACCAAAAAATAAGAGGTAACACATTCTTATGTAAGAAACAAAGGTTTAAATTAGGCCATATTTTTAAGGGCAACTTTACATTCAGAATTATCTATAGTTTGGGTTTATTCTCTTCAGTGCACTGCTAGCTCTAAGTTAAAACCTTAAGATCTCCAAAACAAGTGAAGCCCACGACTCCAAAGGCAATAGGAAACACTGCCTTGGACTTCATTATTCCTTAGGTATCAAAGATTTGCAATCTGTGTAAAATCACATCTACATTTTCTATAAAATCAAGAAAGTAATTTGGGGTGCTGCAGCCAGATCTGAGCTAAAGCAATATTTCTAACTTTTTGTTTATCCTGAAAGATTTAATTTTGAGTGATAAAAAATCCCAAAGGTTTGGGGGGATAGGGCAACTGCTGAACTGTATGAGCATGTATACACACACACACTTGCAAACACACATCATATGGCTTTGAATTGGCAATTTTATGACTTATAAATAAACATGGGGCTAAAGAGATGACTTAGAGTAAAATTTGATTCTGTGCAAAAAGTAGTTTACAGTGGTGCAACCTTGTAATCTCAGAGCTGGGAAGGTGTAGAGAGACAGATACGGGACTTGTTGGCAGGTTAAACAAGCCCAACATGAGTCCTGAGGCAAATGGGAGACCCTGTCTCAAACAAAAACAACAACAACAACAACAAAAACCATGGTGGATGAACCCTGAAGGGGAACCACCTTGAAGATTGTTCTGTGGCTTACACATGCACGTGAATACATACACGCATACTCACACACAAGGTGTACCTACACACACACACACACACACACACAGTCACACACAAGGTGTATCTACACACACACACACACACACACAATCCTTTCTAATATCTGAGGAAAAGAATGGAAAACTGGATGAAGAGGGATTCACACACCTTCAATCTCTCCTTAATGGTAACATGTGCAAAACAGAGGCTGTTAGTCCATTTGTCAACTGCATGCATGTTGACTTATTCAGATCCAAGACACATGTAAACTGCTATATCTATAAACCATTCACCTTTTACAAACTACCCTATGCTATTCATGCATCGTAATATTTGTGGAGAAGTACTACTATGAATTATTTAGGTCTATCTATGGTGTGTGTGTGTGTGTGTGTGTGTGTGTGTGTGTGTGAGAGAGAGAGAGAGAGAGAGAGAGAGTTGAGGGTGAGGTAATTTGAATAAGAATGGTATAGACTCGTATGTTTAAATACTTGGTCTCCAGTTGGTGAAACTGTTTAAGAAGGATTAAAATGTTTGGATTTGTTGGAGAAGGTATGTCATTCAGTGTGGACTTTGAGGTTTCAAAAGACTGGCGTCACTCCTAACATACTGCTTCTTGCTTCTAGTTTAAGGTGTGAGCTCTCAACCATTCTTACCGCCAACCCTTTGCTCCACCATCACAGACCCCTGAAACCATAAAGGCTTTCTCCTGTAAGTTCCATGGGTTATGGTGCTTTATCACAGAAACAGTAAGTATAAAATAAGTGAAACAGGAAGTATACATGTGTTTTGTGTGTGCATAAGGGAAGGGTAGGAGATAGCTGAATGATGTCTGTTCTCTCCTTCTGCCATATAAGTCCTAGGAATTGACCTCAGGTCATTACACTTGGCAAAAAGTTCCTAACCCCTACGAGCCATCTTTCTTTCTCTATATCTAGTTAGTTCAACTTCCAGGATATTAGTTTTCTATTTAGTAATTTTCTCCAGGAAGATGGTACACATGACAGGAAGTCATAATCGCCTTTAGAGATCAAGACATATGTCACCCATGTCTTCAGAGCATCAAATGGTGCCATTTTCACCATAAAGGAAATAATATCACCCCAAAGATCTTGTAGCTGCATTAACATCCAGCTTCTCTTCAGTAGCAAAAGATGAGAGAGAGTACAAAGAGTTACTCGCTGGGAGCAGATGCTAGCCTTGGCCAAATGCCTTAAGACTTTAGATTTCTTCCTTGGTCAGAACCAAAGGTTTACTGGAGAAGCTCAGCAGCCTGACAACAGTTGTGAAACTTGGGTCAACTTGATACCAGTGTCAGCGCTGGGGATGGGCATGCAAAGGTGTGAAATGAGTAAGTATGTTCAAATACCTGCGAGAATAAAACATTCTACTGTGAGGACATGGGAGAGAGCAGATGGCTGGGCATGGTTTAAAGCACTTGTCTTTGGACTGTCACTAAGCTCCTGTATCACACGATATGATGTTCAGTTGGTAATAACGCCTCTATAGGCAAGGTACTCATTTTCTGAAGGAAGATACTATCCTAATGGAGATGTTATAAAGCAAATGAGACAAGAAAAAAAAATCTCTTCTCTCTCTCTCTCTCTCTTGTGTGCGTGTGTGTGTGTGTGTGTGTGTGTGTGTGTGTGTGTTTGGTAAGTGCCATTTCTTACTGGCTTTATTTAATCACAATGTCTCCCATTTGACGATAGTTTAATTTTCCCTCATTTACTAGCCAACTGTGAGTGTCCAGGTATTTTGTTTGAAAGCTTTGGGTAGAGTTATAAATCTGTCCTGTCTCAGATGGATTTATTTTGACTGAAGCTCTTCATTTAAACAGCAATGATAAAATGTGGTAGCTGGAAACTTTTGCCCATGATAAACAGTGATATTCTTCTTCTCCTCAGTTTGGTAGACTGGCATATGGTGTTATGATTTTTCCGAGGACGTGGCAGGTGGCATGGCCGTCGAATCAGAGAGACCGATAAATAGTAAGTATGGTCACACTGTGTCTGTGTGAGTCTACGAGAAGTCCATGTTCTTTAAGCCAGCAGGAGCAGGAAGAGTAAAAATAAAATCGCATACAACAATGTAGAGAAGTGAATACTGGTAATCACCTCCTAATTAACAGAAAGGGGGGGTACCCGAAAGGGAGAATTTTCTATTAAACATCCGCTGAGCTTGGTTTTGGATCCCTTGGTAGTCACAGAAACACACTCTGCTTTTTTCTTCTTTTTTTTTTTTTTTTACATGTATTCCCTTCAAAACTCTGGGACTGGCTCAGGCACAATTTGCTTGTGCGAGGACTCGGGCAACTGACTGGGATCTGAGGGAGAGAGGCCACAGCTGTAGAGGACACACTTGGGAACTTAGTTGGAAATAACTCCTGAGAGACATCAAACATAACTGCCTAAGCCTTCCTATAGAAACGTGTTGGCGGGCAGGATGTTCAGGCCCAGCAGAAGAAGGGTAGGGAATGGTACAAAAGGAACCCCCGCGGGTGATGGAAACTCCGCACCCTTCCTCACTCCCCTTCTTCACACCTGAGGTTCATTTAGCCCCTCTCCAGACCTCAGCTCAACCAACAGCCAGCTTTGGCTCGGAAACTTCCGTCCCACCTGGCAAGCCATTTCTCCAGTGTCCCGCGGAGTTTGGGGCCAGGGCAAAGAAGGCACTAGGGCAGGGACGCTCATCTTTCTACCAAACAAGCCAGGGGACTGGACAGACCGGTGCTGAGAAACTCAACACTCTTCCCTCAGGTGTCCTGTTTCCAAGCTCTATCTGTCCCCACGCGAGTGTGTCGCCAGAATCCTGGAGTTCACGCTGCACCTTGGGGATAGGGGGACAGTAGGAGTCCGGTCCAGTTTGCCACTAAGTTACCCCTAAGTGCGTACGCCAGCCTCCAAGTCTTCAGACACACTCTTTCTCCCCGCACCTTGCGCGTCCAACAAAGTGGATTGAAGTGGGCTGCCATGCCCCAACAGGGGATTACAGGACGCCGAACATGCCACTCTCAGCCCCAGGGGTGATGAAGACGCAAAGGTTCCTCGCACGCCTCGCCCACCCAGAGCTGCGCCCACCGCGGTACCCAGAGCGCCCTGACTCCGGGTACCGAGAATCCCCCAGCCCCGGTGCGGTTACCTCGGCATCCGTCTCTGGCGCTTTGCAGGTACCACTCGCTCTCGCTCTGGCAGAGCGGACTGGGGAAGAAACTTGCCCGCGCTCCGGGGCAAACTCTCCCGAATTGTCTCGGCGCGGCGGGACGCCCGGTTGCGGGAACGGAGCACTAAGGGAGCAGAGCAGCGCTGGCCTCGCAGATCGCTGAGCCGGTCGGGCTAGGGCTGCGGCACCGCCTCCGAGTCCTCCCGCTCCCGCCACCGCCAGCCGCGCCCCCGCCGCCCCGCAGCTCCGCCTCCCGCCTTTAATCTCCTACCCCCCCCCCCCTTATCCTTGCCGGCTCCTGCTCAGCCGGGGTCCCCGGCTCTGAGTTCTGGACGCCAGGTGCGTCCAGTGGGTAAAGCCTCCCCAGCGACAGAAGCCCTTGCCTTGTCCTTTGCGAATTCACCTTTGCTCTTCTCCTTAGATCTTCCACCCACAGTCCTGAAGGACAAGTCAGTAGGTTATCTTAAAACGTGGCCTGCGAAGACTTCAGAATTCTTCTGGCTTGAGCAGAGGTCATGTTTGCTTGCTTCTTTTCCTCTGTTCAAGAGCGGTGTAACCAAGCGCTTTTAAAGTACCAGATAGGCTTTGAGAGACTTGAGCAGTTTGACCCAGTAGCTCTCAGGCCCGTGCCTATCAAACTTGGACAAGCAGAAGCTGGCAACTTGTGAAGGGCTTTGGAAAGAGCAAGACAAAGGTAAATTTAAAAAAAAAAATCATTAAGATTAAAGTATATTGAGGTTTAAAATTCAGCAATTATCTTGACCAGACCAAGGGCAAATAAAATCAAGTGAACCCGTGATTGCTTAGTTTGCAGTCAAGCAGTTTCTATAAATTCACAACAACAAAAACCCAACAAACTTTCTGTTAAAGCATTAAATAGTGAAACTGTCCTGAAGGCTGCATTAGAATGGAGTTCAGGCTGAGTGTTGGAGTCTACCCAGTATGGAGATCAACAGTGAACTTTGGTGCACTGGCCTTCCAACACCTGTTCCTTTGAAACAAAACTTAGCTTGTTTTTCTCCCACAATGCTTTTACTTTCACTTCTTTTTAAAATTACAGCAAAACACATACCATGAAATTTGCCATTTTACCTGCTTTCAGTGTGCTGCTCAATGGTGTTACCTATATTTACATTGTAAAATAGATCTCTAGAACTTTTTCCTGTTAGGGAACAGAAACTATTTATCCATCAGAAAACTAGCCTCCTTTTCACTCCTTTCTGTCCCTATTAGGTACCTGTGTACTTTCTCCTTCAGTAAATTTAGATGTTTAGACTTCTGACAGGATTAATATCCATAATACATAAAGAATTCCTGCCACTCAACAAAAAGGGCAAATAGCCCAGTGGCAAACTGGGGCCAAACAGACGTCAGAGCTGTGCTTTGTGCCTTGGCTTCTTGCCAACGCTTAGGTCCATCTTTTCTTATCTTTCAGGGACATTCCTCCCTCCCAGTCACATTTCAGGGCACAGTTAGTGTTCTCTGAGCTGTACTTCACTGGCATGTCTCCTAGGCAAACAGTAATTGTTCTTCAGTGAACTGACTGGCCCCTTCTTCTCCCACTGTCTTATGCCCCTTTGGAGCCTTCATCATTCAGAGATCAACTTCTAAACAAGCTTATTTGCAGCAGACTGAGCACTTGAGCTTGCTATGACATTTTCTAGTTTTCATTTTCAGTCATTTCCCTGCCACGTAGAACTCCAAGTCCTTAGAAAAACTATGAACACTCATTCATGGAACTGTGTCCACATTTCCAAAAAAAAAAAAAAAATGTTTTGAATAGCTGAATTGAATTGAAAGTTGAATTTTGTTAATATCCAAGGTTATCTCAAGCAAGCGCCGAGCACCAGCATCCGATGCTTTGTCCTACGCATTTATTAGGGTTGCTGAGAGGTGAAAACACCATCAGTTAACATTACAGCTAAACTAATTTAATTTTTACATCAAGAATTATTTCTAAAACATGGTTTCACAGAGCATCTCTAGGCTCTCCACAGTATTAATTTTGCATAGTGACATGCTTACATTTCTTCTCATGTTACATGTTTAACTGTTAACTACTTCTGGGTAACCTTGAAAGATGTAGATCGCCTTCCTTTAACATGGAGGTCAAGAGCATTTCTGTAGAACTGCAATCTCTGGTATGCGGGAAAAACACACAAGGAAGATGCTTAAGAAACTTAGTCGCAACAAAAGTGAAGACACAGTTAAGCTTAGGTGTGGCAGCATACACCTGTAATCCCAGTCCCGGGAGCACTGTGAACATCAGTGGAAGTGGAGACACATGCATCTCTGACGTTCACTGGGCCAGCCAGCCAATCAGTGTGCTCCTGTTTCCTTGAGAGGTCCTGTCTTAAAAATATAAGGTGGAGAGCAATTTAGAAAGACATCCTGATGTGGATGTCTGGTTCCCACAGGCACAGATGCACAGAAACACACGAAAGCTTACACACACACACACACACACACACACACACACACACCACTTAAACGATGAGTATAGCACCATTATGGAATATCTCTTGTGACTTGTGGTTTGTGTTTTCAGATCATGTAGGCATTCATGATGACTTGGCTTAATGAGCAGCCAAAGTTATAACTCAGCAGAACACAGTCTGAACACTGTGCTGGGTGGTGTGGGCATCACACTTACCTCCACATCATGTTATTTACAGCTCCTACTCTTCTATGGGGGGAAAGCAAAGATGTATTGACCTGGAAACAGTTATTTTTACAGGAGTCAACAGAGCATAGTCGGGTAGCTGCAGCCATTTCGTTTATCTTATCTTGTTCTTATTCTTCAGGGCAGGAAAAAAAAAAGACAAAAGATGATAAAAAGCTTTCTGCTCATTCACGATCAAGAGAATATAACTACTCTACTGAGGCAGAAGAAAAGTGTAGCAGAAATCTTGCAACAGAAGACATGTTTTTCTAGATGTTTCTAGAGAGATTTAGAAACAGTTCTTGGAAATATTTTCGCTGGGTGATATGAAATGGAGAGAGCAGTGAAGGCCTGGGCATTTGTTTACTTGCTCATTCTTTTTCGGTATGCGTGTAGGTATGTATGTATGTTGATACAGTATATGTATGTGGCGCAGGCACATGTGTGTGGGCGTGTGTGGCTGGGTGCACACTTGCAGAAGCCAGAAGACTGCAGGCACCTTATTCAGTCTTTTTCCGTCTTGTCCCTTTGAATCAGGGTCTCTCATTGGACTAAGAGCCAGGCTGGTTGTCAACAGGCTTCAATGATTGTCCTGCTTCTGCCCTGCCACAGTGCTGGGGTCACAGGCAAGTGTGATCATACCCAACTATTTACGTGGTTTCTGGGAGTTGGAAGTCAAGTCCTCATGTTTGTAGAGCAAGCTCTCTTACCCGGAGCCATCTCTGTAATCTCAAGAACTATATCTTTATACATGAAATTGCTCAAATCTGCCATGGATCTCTGCACTGCATCTAAGGGCATGAACTCAGTGACCTTCATGGCACTAAATGACCTTTGAACTTTGGCTCTCCAGTAATGTCGGCTCAAGGACAAACACCCTCGAGCTATTATCTCCTTCAATATCTTACCTATTTACATAGTGACATTCAGTGAATGCTAATCAGGAAGTAACATTTAGATGCAGACTTTTCTTCAACAAAAGAAATTCAAATAAAATTATGCTTGCTGCTGAGGAGCATGGGATGAGTGATCACAAGTTATCTGTGGTATGCTGAGTGGGGCACCTTGCAAAGTACCACACAAACTTGCTCTCTACAACTTAAGAATAGCTTTTTTTTGTTTGTTTGTTTGTTTTTTGTTTTTTTGTTTTTTTCTTTTGTCCTTTATATTCCGCTTTATTCTCTGGAAAATATTTTTTAATTAATTTTTATTTTTATTTTATTTTTTTTTGGATGGTTAATTTTTTATTTTTTATATTAATTACAGTTTATTCACTTTTCTTTGTTTCCCAGCTATAGGCTCCTCCCTCATTCCCTCCCAACCTCAACCTCTCTTCCTCATCTCCTCCCATGCCCCTCTCCAAGTTCACTGATAGGGAAGATCCTCCTCCCCTTCCACCTGACCCTATCTTTTTTAAAATTTTTTTTTTTTATTAATCACACTTTATTCACTTTGTATACCTCCATAAGCCCCTCCCTCCAACCCTCCCGATCCCACCCTCCCTCCACCTTTTTCATGCATGCCCTTCTCCAAGTCCACTGATAAGGGAGGTCCTCCTCTCCTTCCTTCTGATCTTAGTCTATCAGATCTCATTAGGAGTGGCTGCATTGTAGTCTTCTGTGGCCTGATAAGGCTGTTCCCCACTAAGGGGGAGTTGATCAAAGAGCAGGCCAATCAGATTATGTCAGAGGCAGTCCCTCTTCCCATTACTATGTAACCCACCTAGACACTAAAATGCCATGGACTACATCTGTGCAGGGGTTCTAGGTTATCTCCATACCTGGTACTTTGTTGGAGTATGAGTCTCTGGGAAGACCCCTGTGTTCAAATTTCTGGTTCTGTTGCTCTCCTTGTGGAGTTTCTGTCCTCTCCAGATCTTACTATTTCCCACTTCTTACATAAGATTCCATGCACACTGTCCAACAGTTGGCCATAAGTCTCAGCATCTGCTTTGATAGTCTGCAGGGCAGAGCCTTTTAGAGGCCCTCTGTGGCAGGTTCCCAGCTTGTTTCCTGTTTTCTTCCTCCTCTGATGTCCATCCTCTTTGCCTTTCGGGATGGGGATTGAGCATTTTAGTCAAGATCCTCTCTCTTGATTAGTTTCTTTAGATGTACGGATTTCAGTGGGTTCATCCTATATTACATGTCTATATGAGTGAGTATATACCGTGTGTGTCTTTCTGCTTCTGGGATAGCTCACTCAGGATGATCCTTTCCAGGTTCCACCATTTACCTGCAAATTTCATGATTTCCTTATTTTTCATTGCTGAGTAATATTCCATTGTGTAGATATACAGTTTTGAATCTCAGAAGCAAAAAGAACAAAAGGCACAGCAGTACATATTTTCAGTAAAAGGTAATTTAGAAACACAGTGTATTATCCCCACCATAACAAACATAATATAATAATTTTACAATTTCTGGAATATAGAAATTGTCACATGCTGTAGGAGTAAAGAAAAATATGTCTGCTTTAACTTTTTTTTTTAGAATCACATTCATCTCTTAAAGATTAAG